GGCACCTCTATGCCCCTCACCCGGAGCAGCTTTTCTCGGGAGGCACTCTTGACAATTAATTACTAGTGGTCCAACCAATGATGGCTCCAAACCTAGCCTTACCTAAACATGAGCTTATCTATGATATGATATACAGTGGCGAACCATCTATAATCGAGATGGCACGGGTCGCTGGCTGCAATAAGAGTACTATTTCAAGAATCTTTTCTAATATTAGGGCCAACAAGGGCGTGGAGACTTTAGATTTCATTCTGCTATCTAAGCGGGGTGGCCTTCAGCAGCGCGGTGCCACAATTAGGTGGAGTTCTCCTATGGCTAAGCTAAAACCATCTGCGCCTACGGAGTAACTCATCACTAAATCACATAAATCAAAGTCATATGTGAAAAGTCATTAATTCAATCGGGTCAGACTCTTACTAGCAACTCTTCATACAAGTGACGGAGATAAGCAAATCGAAGCTCGGCAAAGTCGTCCTAACAGGCTGATGAGTATGGTTAATTGGCGTCTACCTAGTGAAAAGGCGGTAGTGACGTGTCCATTGACGCATTGACCAGTGGAGTGACGTAGCGTAGGTGCCAAAAGTCTCGCAAATTCTCCAATTACGTACGAAAGTTTAGATCAAGCAGGGCTATGGCCCGTTCCCTCTAACATAAAGAAGTCCACTCGGCGCTTTATGCACAAAACTTGAACGCAAAAAACTCATACTCTACTTTGGACTAATTCTACTTTGCGACGTCGATTACACATAGCGAACATTCGCTTAACGATTAATACCGTTATGGCAGAGAATGATTACGTTGTAAGCGATGCTTTTATTCACAGCCTATAGGTTTTCTAATCAAATAATATAGGTCGTCTTCAAGGACACCGCCACAAACGACCAAATCGATAAATATGCCAATCGTGTCACTAATGCCGGAGGTTCAATCCACTCTATATATTACAGAAATGATAATCCCATTATTTATGGATTTATGTTCGTGTTCTCTCTAACAAGACTTAACCTCCCACTTCATATATGATTGCGCTAACATTAAGCAAAATCAGCGCTGGAATTCCCCACCATATTTATTCTTCGTTTCAAGACGACGATCTCATTGAGTATGTCGAGGATGTCGAGGCTAAGGAGCCACTTTAGTTCGACGACGATAAATTCATCGCCTCTTAAACCGCGAAGTGAGTGTGAAGGGCATTAGATTGCTAGCAGAACGGTAAAGCGGTCAGGTGTTCACTTGTTTGCAGGAAGGTAATTTTGGCTCTTATAAACCATAGCAGCATAATACTGCAAAATGAATAGGGATTGATCTTAGTATGAGGCCATGGAAATAAAGGGCCGTCGTTCCAACCAGGTCTTTTTAGCTATTATTATTAACATGGTTGTGTGTTAGTTTCCACTAAGTGTGTTCCGGGGTGACTATGGCTGACAGGCTGAGTATTATGATAAGCGGGTTCATGGGTAGTCTGTAAGGACAGTAAGCAGTAATGCAAGTCACTATTTGCAGGTCGGGTGCCGAGTAAGCCTCCCAGACCGTCACTTGGATATAGGAGCGGAAGGGAAAAGACAGGTCGCCAGATTATCGAGGGACTCAAGCTCTAGTGTTTGACTTGTTTGTATTTCCCTGGAAAATTCTAGTTCCCTTGTGTTACCAATACAGTTACAAGACGAGGCAACGTATTTTAATGAAAGTAAATCACGGTATCGAGACTGGTACAGGAATATTGATATTCCGGTTTTTACCTAATATGGTATAGTGTTTCTTGGCAATGGGGCTAAATAATCACTCGAAGAGTGTAGGCGGTTGCACCAGTTTCGGGACGTACTGTAGCATTCCGTGCCAAGGATGAGAAAGGTACCATCATTTGTGGTCACGGCCCACGCACAGGATGAATGGTGGCTGAAATGAAGTTCACAGCAGCAGAGCAATCTTCGCGGTCAACCCAGCAAAACCAAGAGTGAGCTCCTACCGTACATTACAGTGGCTGGCCTTATTGTGCTGACTTTGAGATTGGCAGCCTTACAGTAACAAGCGAATCAAGTGAGTTCCACAGCCTTCTTAGTAGTCTGGCAGATCCCTGCTGCGGTACCTTCCTGGAGTCGGAGCCTGCTTTCCAAGTGAGCAAATCAACATGTTAACCAGACTGATAGGAAAATCGAACACTTTATCAATGGCATTACACAGGATGGCTTTGTCGACGTATTGACCGAAAACGCGACATTACTGAGCGAAACCACAGCTCTCAAAGACAAGATCCAAGAATTAGAGGAAACACTGGAGAACATGCAAGCTCGTGTAGATGAACTGTGCAAGGAAAGGCAGGTTTCTACCATCCAGAACAACCCAGCGCGCAAGAAACGGGCAATGCCACAATGACCTTGCTCATTAGCTCTGTATTAAGAAGGCGCTGCTCTCAAGACCCACCTCCACTTATGATTTACATTTAACACAGCTCTTTGGATATATTGTTCTTCCGGGGCTGTTGGCAACACTGTCGCCAGCCAAGACGAAAATGCTTCCTGTCCTGTAGGCTTTTGCGGCTCTCTAGTTATATTTTGTTGACAGCCTTGTTGAACTCCATCCAGATTCTGTGTTCCTCTAGAGCAAAGGAACATCTTCTGAGGTGCAAGGCACGGCCAGTTCTCGAATTTACGAAAATCCTTAGGCGCTCGATATCCGATCGGTCCAGCTTTGGTTCCAAATAACATGCAAGATTCGTAAGAACCCCATTCGAATATTGCTGATTGAAAAACTTGTTCAAAATGTCCTTGATGTCATCCACATCTCGAAGCTGCCTTTCTCTCGGCTTAACCGGCCCCCGACCAAATTCCATGATGATCCTCAGCAACTTCTCAACTGGCTCAAACAACGGTGTGTCGATTATGTTAAGCAGTTCACGCAACGTTTCCAATCCGATTGTCTTTGCCCAAATATCCGCCAACTTGCTTTCTGCGTCATTCAAAGCACGGTCGAAGCTGGGACACTTCCGCTGGCCTTTGAACATAGCATCGCATTGTTTGCCAATGATAGTTTTTGCCAGGTCCCGCTTCATCGCGAATAGCTCTATTGGGAGAGAAGAGCACTCGAGGAATGGTATGTTGTACCCATTACAAAGGGCAATTTCGGCTGGCGTCTGTTCAACCTCACCCAAAGACATCATGTTGGCACCAAGGTTCTCGAAAAGCTTGAGCGCATCGATCTGATTGTTGACGGCCGCAATATGTACGACAGCAAGCCCATCCCTTCCAATGGCGTTAATGTCGACAGAAGCATGCTTAACAAGAAATTCAATTATCTTGCTCTTGTTTGCCCAACTCTCCAAGAGGTCTGTCAAGATGACTGCAATTTGCAATTGCCCATTCCGCAAATACGAGCCCCTGTTGCGTGGAGAATGCGTTTTGAGCCGGCGAAGGACATCAAGATCGCAACAGCGTAAGGCGAGTTCGTAGGGATATTCCAAATCAATCGTAGGCCCAAGCTCGAGTAGAAATTGAACTGCATTTGCGCTGCCGGAATACGCTGCCACTTCCATTAATGGCAAGGTATGAGATTCGATACCAAAAGTGCTTTGTAATTCTTGCAAAATCTCCACTCGATCAGACCGAACAGCTGCTTTGGCTGCGCGGTGAACTTGAATATCTTTGCCAGCCTCGAGCAAAAGCTGCTTTAAGTAGACAAACAGTTCCATATCACCACTTGTGGCAACGGCAAATAGGCAACATTCCAAAACTTCTGAAGAACAGGTAGACCAAGAAACAGAAAATTGCAGGTTGAAGCGTGCCTGAAGTAAAGCCATAGACTGAAATGGCATAACATCAGAATCGCGATATCTGAGCAAGAAAACGTTGGAGTCGCAACAGCGATGTTGTATATTGAGAGCGGCAACAATTGCTTCAATGCCTCTTGGATGAATATGAGGATTGTTGTGAAGGTAATATACAACATCTTCGGCCCCCCTCGAGATGTAATGGTCCGGAGATTCAAAGTAAGATTTAAGGAAATCATCGACCACTTCATCTCTCATGTGATCGCTGTGGCTGCAATAAACTTCATGCTGGATGGCAAATCGTTTCCAACAACTGTTACTGACAGGGACAGAAGGCGCTGGCTCATGCCCGTATCTAACTCGGTAGACAGGGATCATGGCCTTCCTGAGTTCTTTGCAAGTCATTTCCACATTTTGGGATAGGTCCTGAGACGGGATGTAGGAAAGGATCAATTGGATAATTTCAATGGGCAAAGAAAGAAGGGACGGTGCTTGCCTCCCAGACATTTTGGACTCGTTGCGACGACCTGCGGTGTTTTGTACACGATGCGTCCGTCCTAGGCGAATGGGGAATAATGGTTTCACTTGGTCGCATTAAATGAAGAGCGAAGGGAGAGGCGAGACTAGCATATTAGTAGCGAAGTTGCTGGTTCCACGATATAACCAGCTTCCAATGATGAGGAGCTGGAAGCGCTCGATTTTTGGTACATATTAGCTAATCAAGCTCCCCGCACGTGCTGAACGCTTTTCCCATCTCCTAGGAAAGCAATACAGGTTCCTAGGAACACGAGGGTCCCTCAGGACATTTCACGGACTTGTATGATAGAGATCAACGTTACTTAAGCGTTTTTATAGCCAATAGGTGTCCACCTTTACCAACGGCTGGAGGCCGCTAGGTTCCTGGGGTTCAAGTATGGACTCCTAGGACTGTCAAGGATATAGATGAAGCATGTGGAACGGATAGAGATATGATCCGCACGGGACTCACATGGTGTACATGGGTTCCCCTGAACGCGAGGAAGCTACCTTTCTTTTGCTTCCTCGCGCTACGTCTTGTATCTAGAGTCAACTATAGTTGTTCTTAATATCGAATGTTCATCTTGAAACACTATCCACCTCTATGTATGCGTGAGACCCTCACACCAGGATTCACAATACGACCCGACTCCAGGATATTACGAATACACGCCACCCTCAGAATATGGATTCAGCCCTTCACCGGATCGTTGCCCCCATGACGGTCCCGACCCTTTATTCTCTACCCAACCTGAAGTCAACAAGCTGCTTCGGCTCTCCGAGTGGGAAGCAAACAGACCAGACGACGAGCTTCCCGCGAGCTTTGCTGCCTGCCGCCGCTGGAGGTGGAAAGTCTGGACTAGTGTCACCCCGCGGGGAGACCGTCCTGCCGAAAGCCGTATCCCGGCTTATAAACAAAGCTTCCGTTTTGATCGCGTCAACCCAATCTTGAGAAGTCTTTCCTGGAATCTGGAGAGATCTTTTCAAGTAGATCTTGCGACCTTCAACCCTATCGGCCATGCGCGAAGTAGTATCGGAGCGGTTGAATGGGACCGATTGGAGGTAAGACGTGTTCAGGAAGGCTGTGACCGCCGCTGGCTTGCAGCAATCGGCAAGAATGTGGTCCATCAACAGGGCAGTATATCCGCCGAACAGTTTCCCATTATACAGTAGTAGCACATCTGTTTTGCAGGGCTCAAGAAGAGAAGAAACTCTACTCCCGCCCCAGAGGATGGGGCTTGAACGTGGGATGATAGCCCTACAACAGAGAATCCAACATTGCATCGGGGGATTCTTGCGGTACAGATGCTGTGCTTAACTTAAGGGTGTCAGTATTATTATAGCGCAAGGAAACACATAATTATTCGTACTCACATTGGTGCGCTTGACTAATTTGCTGCATGTATCGCAAGAGGATGGGTATTGTTCTGCCAATGATCGATATACACGAATCGATCGATAAAAGAGAGATAGCATGATTTGCTGCTTCAAAATACCATACATGTTGTTAAGAAGCTGAAGCTTTGAGAACCGCAGATTTCCCTTCCGGCTCAGGACATTTATGCGGAGATTCCCGCAATGACAATATTCCTACCAGACGATTTTCTTTTCTCTGGAATATCGGTCGCCGGGGACGCAGGTGAGACCGGGCCGTTCTTGCCCACTTGTTCGTGAAAGAATGGTCTCGCATGCGTTGTACAAATGCTGGGAGGAACCAAGATGATGTCCCATCATTCTTCGATTACTCTTTAACGGTCATTCAGGTCTGCCGCTGCTAAGTACCTGGCCGCCCTTCTCTTGACCACTTAACCACGCCACTTCGGCGCGACACCTTTCAACTCAAGTTTCCTGGATTCCCTAACGAGTAAGTCATACCACCTAGTCCGAATCCATTGGCAGCTACAAAATATGCGTGTCTACAAAGAGATAATCTTAGCGTAGATGAGAAAGAGTGTGTGAGTGACTTTTCACTGTACAAAGCAAGATAATCAACTGTGGCCTGCTCAATGGCCTACGCCAAGACCTCGGCAGTGGGCCCAGAATATCGTTACTCAGGCAAGTTGACAGTAGCAATGTAAGGTCTTCCATCATGTGCAGCTCCTAATACTCTGACATCCCCTAGGATCGCTGCCAGGAAAATTTTCCGTCGGCCGCGAAAAAGCTCGCGGTTCGGGTCAGATCCGCATGACCGGGCTGGTCCGGTTCCTTCCACGGGTCTGGCGATCAACTGTTACCAACTTTAGCAACGGGCTGAAGAAACTTTGTGAGTGGAAAAACAAGAAGTCGTTAGCACAAAGTTGAGTATTAACTCATCTAAGGGGCAAGTCGCGCGATCTTCGCCCGAGTTACTTCAGCCGGATGGTCTATGGAAGCCGATTGGCCCGTAGCACAGCTCATCTTCCCTGGCGGAAATTTGTCCTTCTAAAAGTGGCTGTATAGCTGTCTCATGCATTAAGACCTAGATGCAAACCAGCCCCCAGCCCCTATTTGTCAGCACACCGCTCTTCCTCTCGTCATTCTTGTGCGTGTTAAGTTGGTTTCCTTCTCCTGACAGCTCTTCTACTGAATCTGCTCTATTTTCAAACATTTCGAACGCAAAACCACGGCTACCAGCGATATGAATTATGAGGTTGAACAAGAAATTGTCGCATTCTTTGAGAAGACTACGACGACTCGCTCAGCCTGTGACAACTATGCGAGTGAGCATCTTGGCGGAAATGTCATTCCAGTCGACGTGCAAGGCGTGTGTAGCTACACCGTCTATGCTGGCCCTAACGCCGAATTCGTCGTGCAGTATCGTCTGAAGTCGCTAGCGCTGGACATGGATATTATGAACCTCGTCAAAGCCATCTACGGTACCTTGACACCCCAGATCTCCTTCAAGGGACAGATTGGGGACGATCATGAGAGTAAAGAACCGCTTTACATATACGTGATGAACCGAATGCCAGGCATCTCTCACCTGGATTTCATCCTAGCGCATAACGGTGATGTACCTGAAAACTCGCTCGAGTTTTCTCGCTGGCGCCAAAATCTTGTGGCCGACAACGCAAAGTATGTGACTCATTTCTACGTGATATATACAGAATCGCTGATTGTATGTCTTACTATGTAGATTCTTTGCTCTATCTTGGAAAGGTCCTCAGGATGTTGATCAAACGTACCGCGAGCACCTGTGCCATCAGTACGAACGAGACCTGAATTTGTTACTTGCTTCTCTCCCCATTCGATTCCATCCATTGATCAAGAAGTCTCTTGACTCGTTGCCGGCCATCTTTTCACTTCCTATGGTGCTACTACACAATGATTTCGGTTCCTTCAACATGCTGGTGGACGAAAAGTCTTGCAATCTGCTCGGCGTGATTGATTGGGCCGAAGCTGAGATTGCTCCATTCGGCATAAATCTCTACGCTCATGATCGTTTGATAAGTAAGATCCACTTGAAACATGGCTGGTCCAGGTATGATGATTATCGCCTTTTGGATGAGATATTCTGGAGCATTTTCAGTCAAGAAACCGGAGTGGACAATGAAACGATCAAAACCATCAAAGCCGCAAGGATTGCTGGAGTACTGTTGTGGCTTGGCTTCACAAGTCGTCTTCCGAATGAGCCGATGCCAGTACCGATTTCTGATGATGATGAAAGTGGAGCATATGGCATGCGTGATTTAGACGGGCTTTTGATTAATCCAACTACGAGGTTCACGGACTTGGTATGATTAGATGAACTAGGGGAAAAAAAGAATGTGAAATGACTAGCCAACTGGATACAAAACATAGCACTAAAGGACACCGGCCATAGCAAGAGCGGCTTTCAAGTCTTCTACATTCTCCAACTTAGGAATAGGCTTTCCTGCATTGAAGACCCTGTGATTACCCGTGTTGATTTTCGCATGTGTTTCGTTTGATGCGCGAACACGTGGGTTGCCATCAGAAGTCTCGAATTTCCAGCCTGTAATGCGGGTCGGCACAGTGTTTTTCACAGAAAGCGAATCCACCATGACAGTTCCTTCATCTAGAATAAGCTCCTCCATGGAGCCATCTTCGCAGCCGAGGACTTGGAGGCCAATGAGGCTGGCGAGATTGTTGTTGAGGATATACGTGAGAAACTCGTCAAGAAATCCAGGTCCTACGCTGGACAGATCCGGAAGAGGCCCATCTTGTAACTCGTACGCGCACAAGCCGTCCTGAGTGAGGGCGAAAATATGCCCATGGACACGGGAGGGGTCGATGCCGCTGATGTTGGTGATTCTCGTCCATCGAAGGGAGTTGTTCTCGAAGTTGGTCCCAAGCATGACGGTGTTCTTGGGGATTTTGAAGTGGCCGTGGATCAAGTGAATACCAAGTGACTTGTCCGCATTGTGACGGACGAATATTTCCGCTAGGTTCTCAATGTGCTCATCAGCAACGGCAGGCTGATCCGCATCATCGAGAAGCTCGTTGTATCTATAAAACGTTAGCCACATGTTTGATATACGGGATGATTTCGTACAGAGCAGAGCTCTTGCTAAAGTCCTGGATCTCCAGAGCCTTATCAAGTCTAGGAAGAGTGGGAGGCAAAGAAACTATAGCGGCCATTGTGACTCGAATCTCGTGTGCTGTTGCGCAACGGAGATCGAGGTATAGTAAATGATGAACTAACTGCTGTAGCTGGATAACTCAGAAAGGAAGGAGAAGGATTGAGAACATCGTCTCTATTTATGTGCTGGCTTGGAAAAGATTGCTTCATCCCTGTCATAACTATTTGGTCGAGCGAGCGCAAGGGGAAATATCTCGCAGGTGGGGAACCTTGTCATTTGAAGCGGCTCACAGGGCCTAAGCGTGCTCGGCGTAAGCGATTATGCATGTCTCCAGGATGAGAGGACGTAAAGGGGCAAACAGCAGACATGTACATACTGGCGGTCATTGGTCATGAGCGCTTGCGGCGAGAAACGCGTGGATTCTGCCTTGACCTAGGAAAAGCACCAGGAGCGATGGGGTCGGTGGCGGAATATGGGAAGCATTAAGCGCGATCATTGGACTGCGGGAAACGCGGATAGAACTGCTCGCTGCCCGGCGTGTTTCTGGGATTGATGCTTGGATATGACATGAGGCTAGCTAGTCTTTTGGCTGCAGCATGTTATACTTATTTGCAGCCAATCAAGCCGAGGACTCCCGTCGACCGCTTATCCGTCCGATCACTTTGTTCACCCCAAAAACGACCAGTTTTGCTATTCCCCCTCTCGACCACTTGTTCCCCGTGTCCCCCCCTCTTTCGTTTCGTTCCTCTTTTGTTTCGTTCCTCTTTTGTTTCGTTCCTCTTTTGTTTCGTTCCTCTTTTGTTTCGTTCCTCTTTTGTTTCGTTCCTCTTTTGTTTCGTTCCTTTCTATTTCGCACGATCCTGTTCCACCAGGTCTCTTTTGTCTTCTCACCGTATACCTAAAGCGATAGAATAACAGACCCTAAAAATTAAATGTGGAGGTGGCTGATTCTGAAGTCTTATCTGAACTTTGTTTTCTGTCGGACCATTTTACTTCCTTACCAGATTTATTTAAATGGAGCTACTAGTTCTATGGTTTTATCGGCTTTCTACTAAATTTACCCGCCGCCTTCCACTTGCGATCGAATGTTCTGATTATCTTGGATGTCATAGTCACGTGATGAGGGGTTATCTGCCCCACTACGAAAAGTCAGCGGCCTTGTGCCAACAAGTCGACGTGGATGGAGGTTAGGCATTCACAGTTACTCTTGAGAACCCGTTCGAGCAGCGAACATTCTGGATCTACTCAGTATATCTACTTCCACAATCTTGTTCAAACCTTTGATTTTCAATCTTATCGAACGCCTGGCGGAGTCCGGAATTCTTAACACGAATCCTGACAATCGAAGTGTTCACAGGGGTTAGTTGGATCGCCGAAGATACCCATGATGGCGGCGAATGAGTATTATTCGAAAATACAGCTCGATACAGATGGGGATGAAGAGATCTTGAGAAAAGCTAAAGAGGTCTGCCACCATTTTTTCTTCCCTGCAAGGCATTTGAAACTAATAGGAGTGGCATCCAGCTAGATGGGCAGCTCCAAGTATCCCTACTCGAAGTCGACCAGACTTGGACATCTTATACGCTGAAAATGATACCTGGTCATCCGACTCATCGTCTTATCGTTTTTCGCCCACATCTATCGCGGGACCTTCTTGGGTGTGTTAGGGTGTACCGAGCTGGGACCACTGTGAAACTTTGGGACGTATATGATTCGAGGGACACATTCATAGGCAAAGTTCCAACGGATTGTGCTATCGAAGCGATGGTGGTTGATGTGAAATTTATCAAGCAGAGGGAGAGCCAGAGTTGAACATCTCAGGCAAGTCATGCTCTGCAGAACTAGTAGGGAAGCCGGCGTTAAATATCTCAGTTAAGTCGTGCTTTCCACCGTTCGCCACTGCTTCGGACCGCGAAATCGACAACACCAGTGATGCGACACGGTCTTGCTGTGTGGGAATCGTGAGGATTGCCGAGTGTCCTTGAGAATGCTCGGATCTTTTGTGTAGCTCAACGAAGGTATCCAAAATGTTTGAAGGCACGTCGAAGGCTACCTCGATTCCTCTTTCTCCTCCCATTTGTGATTCGGTTCTGTTGTACATATTTGCCGAGCTTCCGCTATAAGCGGACTCATAATAATGGAAGCGAGCACCGTTTTGCTGTTCAGCAGTGAGTTGATCGTTCACGACACGATAGTTTACGGATTGGTCGGCCTTTGAACCAACTACTTTTCAAGGTCAGTATCTTGTCTTGCCATGTCTCTAGGTTGATTTCCATACAGGAAGTCGACGGAATCAGTGCATCCGGACTTGTTCTCGTCGAAGAGTTATCCTCTGCGTCGAACTGTTGTTGCGATCGGGCTTCATAATGCAGAGGCACCTGTTGGTTTGGCAAAGCATGTCTCGTGGAAGGAGAAGGCTCTTCCCAAATTTGAGATGCCTCCTCCTCGAGCAATTTTGGGAAATTCGTCCTGCACGACCATTCGTGCAGCTCCTGATAGAACCCATGATAGGTTATTTTGGGGCAACTCGAGATAGAGTACCTGAGCATGAACAGTAGAACTGTCTCGGAACCAGCTGTCTTCTTGACCTTGAACGCAGTTTTGCGCGCATGCATTCGAACATGTGTTCGGGTTCTGGATCTCTTGACTGGACCGTTTTCTTTGAGTAGAGCGTTCCATGCATGTAGTTGTCGCTTCTGCCAGCCGCTTAAAGGGCTGGAGGCTTGGTCCTCGAAGAGGGCAATCAGAGTTTCAAGACTCTCGAGAAACTGAGCTGCATTTTCTGGAGAATCCATGGCAAGACAATATGATAGACTTGCCAGGAAGGGAACAGGAAGAGGAGAGGAAGAGGACAGGAAGGGAACAGGAAGGGAACAGGAAGGGAACAGGAAGGGAACAGGAAGGGAACAGGAAGGGAACAGGAAGGGAACAGGAAGGGAACAGGAAGGGAACAGGAAGGGAACAGGAAGGGAACAGGAAGGGAACAGGAAGGGAACAGGAAGGGAACAGGAAGGGAACAGGAAGGGAACAGGAAGGGAACAGGGAATAAAAATGGGGCACAACAGAAAAAGGAAACGGAATGGAACAGATTTCTCGTATTGTATTCTTTCCGTTCCGTTCCGTTCCAGCCTCATTCTCTTTTGTCCGATTTCAACCTAGCTTGAGGTGTAATTAGAGCTAATAAATCATGAAAATTGTACACCACATGGCGGTCCAGAACAAGGAACATTTGCTTCAGCGCAAAGAGTCATTTAGAAGACTTCACTCGTGATCACAGTAAGAATCTGGTTTAGTGGCGGTTAGAGGATTCGGGGAATCAGGAGAGAGACGTAAAGGCAAATGCATTCTAGGCCTCTTTAATATGTCGAGTAACGTTGAGCCAAAATCTCGCTTTGACCTACATTAAAAGCAAATCTATCTGATCGGCCTCATGCAGCAAATAACAACCATGCAGTAGCTAGCCCTGATCTGGATGCTGGAGAAACTCCGCTAATCATGTCGGTCGACATAAGATACGGGACATTGTATTGACCCAGGGGTATATAGTCCTGCATATTGATGACAGCCACGATGCCATACACTGCCGCGCTGCTTCTCCGTTCCCATGAAAGCCTTCAGACAGCTGATAGAGACAATTGTGCATTTCCAGCCCGCATTCGCTACTATCCATGACGACTCTTCCATTGAGTCTTTCGGAACTCCATTGGAGGACTATCAAAATACTGTACCTGCTTCAGCAGACTTTGATTTTCAGGAGAGGCGTAATCATACCAAGCAGAGTGCTGGCGAATCAACTATTCGACCCCCAGAAGCCGTGTTTCTGTGTGAATCGCATAGGCATACCATCTATCAGACTGTTGTGCCTCGACCTATCAACAGTCAGCCCATACCAATTGGCCCTGTCTATAAGCCGGACCCCGAGTCCTTAGGCGCATACCTGAATCCTCGCACACCACCAACGACCCCACCAAAAAGCGTCACATTATGGCATCTGATTACCTGCAACAGTAAGGCAACTTACCTTGATCCTCAATATGGTGCTAATTGAAGAACAGGCTCGTAAAGCTCAATTCTTGGGCTGGCCCTCTGGGCGATCAACTCGCAGATATGCATGATATCACACAGCATCTGGGCCTTTTCACGTACATTCCCGCCGTTCAAGTTCCAAGCACCGGGACATTTTAAACCACCCGAGCTGATTCGCCATGCCCAGCAGCTGATATGCGAGGACGATTGGAATACTCTATGGGATAGAACGAAGATACTGCTAGTTTGATATTCAATTTTAGTGCTCAATTGACGCACAGAGAAATCGAAATGTAGGCATTGGGATAGAAGTTTATGTTGAGAAGTTTGTGTTGTGCTCGCTCCAAGGCACGATAGAACATTCATGCACCTGACATGAATTTCAAAGAGAACCTCGGACATTCAGTATGCGAGGGCGTAAGAGCTTAGGACCTGCGTTGGGCCGATAGTTGACGATTGACGCAAATACCATGAGCTCAAGGCCACGCGCTAGCTAAACGTATGAAATCCAAGCTCCATCGAAAGCAGGAGACTACTCCGCTTTGATACCGCTAGTTCTTGGTATTCGGCCAGTAAATCGGCCAACAATTTTCACCCCTGAATATGCGTTGGCAATGCTGCATTTTACCATAAAAGAGGTCTTCGTCGTACTGTGGGACTCTGTTATATTTGATTGTATATATTCTGTCTCAATATGTCTGACGTGGAAAGGCAACTAGCAATTCTACTGGAAGCTCTGGTGCAAACGAACTTGGAATTCATCTGTCCTCAATGTTACCAGCTCTTTCCGGACATCGCTGCATGCTATCGCCATTGTCGGGAGGCAGGGGAAGGCGAAGGAGGAGATGATATACACAAAGGTCTTGGTTTGATCACAAAGAAAGACTTCCCCGAATTCCTTCGATGCTACCGTGTGGCTATTGGATTCCCAATAGCTGAATGTGATCTTCCATTGGGAGATGGCCCCGGACGTCGCTCATATAACCAATGCTTCTCAGTTGACTTCGTGCTTGGCAACTGTCGTGAGTCTTCACTCGTGAACGCAAGCTCGAGGCGCTCAAACTGATGTGGACACAGTTCCTAGCAGAGAAACAATGGACGCAATGTTGTTGGCCGTGATTAAAGTCTAGATTAATGCTTATCAAGTGTGGTAAGTCACGGTCGTATGTCCCGAAGGACTTGCCGAATGATGACAAAGTAACAGCACAATACTACAACAGAGAACCATTCGAACAGTTGAATCGCTCGTCTCGTCACATGTGATGGCACATGGAGCACAGGATAAGAACACACGAAAATGAGGATAAAGTTTATTACGTTTTATATGAAAGACTACGGTGGAATATTGGCAATCAGATCGTGGATCAGGGTACAGAATATATTCAAAAAATTCCTTGGAGTGTCATGACAGGGAGAGCCCATGTGTCAAAATAGAAACTAGATATACAAGACGGCGTCCCCTTTGATCACGTGCCATTCTAGAAACCCTAATAGATGGCTCAATTTCTCTTTGAAGTCCGCCAACGAGAGCGATCCGTACATTTTGGTGTAGCTGAGGTGAATCGATGCGCAAATCGATTCAAATTGGTCGTCAGGCTTGGCGAAGAATTGAATAAGACCTCGGGAGAGAGGGACCATTCTCGAGTCAAAATGCCAGGCGAAGAGTGAAAGCATAACCAAAGCACGATCAGTGAGTTTGCTTGCCATATGGTGAGCATACTTCTTCAGTAGACTGTTTTTGGCCAAAGCTCTGCGCTTGACCCAGGACCGGTATTGGTACTTTCTGAGGCCCTGGCAGGTAGAGACCAGGGATGCAATTCGAGCATTGGGCTTGTGATGCCGTCTTATTGTTCGCTTGACCTCTTTTGTGCCCAGATGCCACACTTGTTGCGCTATCAGCGTCGTTGCTGCGCTATTTTGGAGACCTGCTTTGGGGATGAGAAACTGTATCATTCAGTATATAGCTCAGTAGAGGAAATCATTGATGTCTTACGCCATTTCGGGAGATTATCGACATTTCAAAGGCGGGGGGGAAAGCTATCATTGACAGACGTATCTTTCGGACTCTTGGGCTGGTCGCCTTTTATGTGTTGGGATGGGACGAGATGCTCTCGGGCCCTCATTATATCACAGACTAGCAAGGGGTTGCTTGACCAATCAGAAACACGAGTTCCGTCCCACTTTTACTACATACACAGTCTTTCAAAAAGTCGGTATTTGCATCTTTTTGGAATTTGGCGTCAGTGCGCAGTGGGACATTCCAAGACCCTCATGGGTCAGGGATAGAGCGGCAATCTTTTTTATCTTATTTTCTGAGCGCTTAAGGTTACATACAATACAGCGCAGCTCTATTGGATCATTCAGACAAGCCGTCGGAGTGAGCTATTCGACCGCGTTATTTGTCATGGTTGGAAATGGTTCTAGACTATGGCTTGTATATACAAAGCCATATTCCCTGGTCATATTCCCTGGCAGAAAGCAATCTCATCGGGGAAACCAAAAATGAGAGAAAGGCAAGGAACCACACATCGTTTCTTGATGCAGAATAGAATGGAAAAAGCCCCTCGGAAATAAACGAGATTTTCCAATTCTAGTTAAATCTCGATTCACATACTCACTAGCTTGAAAATAGGAGCTGAGCAGGCCAAAGAAGTGCAGCCCCGTCAAATGACGACTGCTCTTGTGGCACACAATCGTCGCGCAAGCACCGCCTGTGGGTCAAGGGTGCCACAAATTGTATCTCGACCCACGCAGCCATTGCGTTTAAGACTAGTGAATTCTCATTCTGCCGCTGTTCTCTCGCCTGTATTAAATGCGGACCATCATCCCGAGGTTCTTTCTTGCTGGCCTGTCGCTTAAACATGGACACTAACAGTACCCCATTGAGTTCTACCGTGCCTACACCTTTCCATCCCTACTGGGCCTGGGCCACTCAAGAGAATGCTGGCTCTCAACCCGTACCTAGCATCCAATTTTACGGACCCCAGACATACCCTCAACAGTCAGTCAACCTCACCGATCTCCCTCAAAAAGGCCACGAAGCCCCCGATCCAGAGCTTCTAGATGGCCAAACCCTACAGCGTACGATGAGCTTTCCGTTCTCAGTACGAACCAAATACTGACCTTTCGCAAGGAAATCCAGAGAACTGGAGGTTTCCCAGATTTCCCGAGTCAAATCCCTCGATCCCCTGGACGAACGAAAGGGGGTTCCTCAGCTCTCGCAGCATTTTGCGAACCCAGCATGTCCAGTCCTACCTCTCCTTTGAATCCTACAACAGTAATGCCATCGCAGCGAGCTTTGTCAGGTCTAATTTAAACTCCACAAATGCCACTGAGATCAATATGAGGCCATGCGGTGGAGATTCACCGGCGTACTGCGAGCGCCGGCAGGTCTTGAATCTCAAAGACAGGCAAGTCAGAGAGAACTGAGTGAAATGCCATGCAATACTGCGCTGTGTAGTGCCCCGCTGACATACGTTTAAAGACCCCAGACTGAATACTTTATGCTTCCAGTTCTTCCTACATCCCCGAATTCGTACTACCAGCCATCAGATCTACCCGTGATGTCTGGTCGTGAAGAGCGCAGGTATACCCAACCTTCGCACCTAGATCATACCAAGCGGTCAGAGGCGTATGCCCTTACCCCCATCGAAGCGACTAAGCATGCTCCCGGACAACCCTCTAGTCAGTTTGACAAGACCGATGAGGAATACCCCTGCCACGTCGGCGAGTCTCGCATGAACGACGACATCTTCTGTCAGATTATCGATGCAAATCTGACGCAAGCTGGGCCTCAGGCAGACTTGAAGCGGTTCCATTTCTATCTAAAGTGGCAGCAGTTCACATTTACTAATGGAATATGGAAGTAGGTGATTATTTACCCTGCGTTGAACCGTGCTTATATCGACAGATGGTATCCTGAATGCAGTACCCTTGTGGAACTGAAGAAGCAAAAGCTTTATAGGAAATCCGGATTGATTCATGAATTGCTGGAACAGTCGTGCGTGGCGAAGTGCTTAGGCGAAAACCCGACAGTTGGGTGGCCAAGGGTTATTTTCCAGGACAAGTATGTTTTCAAGCCATTAATTGAGATACTCCCCATTGACCATTCTACCGCCAGCATTAACTGCGTGTGAGTCTGCATTCTATGAATCTTTTTCCATTTATTAACAAGGCGAAGAGCATTTTCGATCACAGGCGCAACCACTGGTCTTGGTGGAACGCCGGTTATACATCAAGTCAAGTTCTCGAAATTCATTCCAGATATCCTTTCGAAGTTCAATCCAAATTTACACACTACTTTGGCAGTGGTAAATTATACCGAAGGCCCCGCAGTTTCCGATGCAAATACTGCGGTGCATCTGGAAAGCAAAAACAAAGGAAATGGTATGTAGGCCAGTGTCTCTCAAAAACAGTACTAATGCCATGTCTTTAGAGATACTCAGTAATGCCAAAGGGAAGCATATAGCTATAGCAGAACAAGCCATAATGGTACTCTGTCGCCGAGTGCAGTCGCAAAACAGACTCTCGACACCTCGAACTCTGAAGGAGCTTTATCAAGCTGGCTTCAACAGCCTGAATTCCAGAATGTGTCGAGACCTCCTTAATAAGTGGATTTATATTATCACAAATGCTAAACGGCCAGCATATGTGGAGAGACCCAGTTGGTGGCCAGAAGAAATCAGATACACGCGTCCTCGCGAGATGAATGCTCGTGGTAAGTAAGCATGAAGCCTGTTGCTTACGCCAACTAACAAGTCAAAGAGATGAAAGCGGTTCTATTCCATCTTTTCAACGAAGAATACGATCACGCCTCCTCTAGAAAATTCTGCACTTCCTGGAGAGACATCAAGATTACCAAAAAAGACAGAGAAATACTAACATGGGTTTTCTATATCCGGAGAGTCTTCAATACTGATATGAAGCTATGTGGGCGCCTATCATCTGAGATCTTATGTAGTACTACCTGACAAGATACAGTGCTGCCTGGAATTACAACAGTCTCTCAATGGGCGCATTAAATTCCCCGACGTGATGAGAAGATTCTTTATGCAAGAAATGTATCCAAGCATTGCTTTAACCGTAAACAGCAACTTTGTAGTGCGCAATGAAGGTGGAGGTTTCATCTAGCCGCCGCTTATACCATAGTTCAGCAGTACATAACCCACACCGTAATAACCGTTGGAAACGAGTCTCTGTAAAATTGCTGTCTCGATCTGCAGCGAAAGTGCAGGCTACAGAAGGCGCCGGTCAATGCGCCGGTCAATATGACACCTAGCGTAAGAGGGGCTAAACCGAAGTCCACAGGGCATCAGGCTAGCGAGGGCAAGTAGCCAATTATGAACAATGCATATCCCAAATTGGTAGGCATCTTCATTGAACAGATAATGTCTACGTGGATACTAACGAAGGAGATATGGCTGAGTTTGGGAGGCGAGAAAAACAGCCTTCTTACATGCAATCCAGTATTCCTGATTGCGTGAGTTAGACTACCAAGGTATTGGTAAGACATATCGCTTTGAAAAGAGGACCCGCAAGTAAATGATCCAGTCATCGCAGGCCAAGAATGCTGGCAAGAGAAAGTTCGAACCTAGAACTCGCGATCAGTTTGGCCCACTTCGGAGTACACTTTGAGGCAAGTAGGCCTGTCGTTTGATCCACTAATTCGTTACAAATTCTGTTACTAGGGTATTTACTAGCGATGAATGCAAGTATTGTCATTCTCTCAGTCAGGGGGCAAGTCCATTGTAATGTCTAGGAAGAGCAATCGCTCCTTCCGGTTATCACGCGCATTGACCAGGAGGCAGGATACAATTTTATCTATAACCCATCCTATTCCCCTGCAATGTGGAACCATCATTTTCATTATTACTACCGTTGGTATACCGTTCATTGTTAGAAATACCCTGAGATTTTCCTTTCCCCATATACTTGGGGAATCCCGCGTCTCCGTTCAGAAAGCCTCCACTCCGGATCAACATGGGCACCCAAGATCAGTTCTTATTTGGTCAGATCAGTTACCCCCAATATATTTCGATATACCCTTCGGTAGTGGACAACAGGTACCTTGAGACTAGCTCACACGACTTCGTCTATGAACAACCTCCTCCAGCACCCTTTCTGGCAGCACCACCCGCGGTCTCTCGCTTCCCCCCGCCTCTCCCCCCCAAATATCGCGCCATCCGACCTCAACCTAAGAAAGACGGCCCTGAAACCAACGATTTCGACGACACGTTGCAATTAAAGCCTCGGAAGCGCCGAAAGAGCCGACGGCTGCCACAAGAGAGAAGCGACGAGTCAAAGGTCACCCAATCAGAATTGGACGTCAACATAGCTTCTTCGGCTAGAGCCGGAAGCGAGAGGTTTGGATTGCCAAATTTCTGTTACTTCAACAAACCCCAAGCTGACCCAAAGGCCGTACAATGCAGTTCCGCGCCCTTCAGCCAATATACGGATTCCGATATTTGCTCGAGCTGTCACGAGCCTACCTTCGCGTCTTGTCCTCCTTCATCTTCAAAGGACTTTGCAAGTCCAAAGTGGAATGGATTGCTGCCTCTACTCAACGATGCTTGTGAAGCGCTTGTCACCGACCGGCCAGTCTATCCCCACGATGTGCGCCGCTCCCTTATTTCACCAGATATCCATGTTCCATTGCCGAGTGGATTCCTTGAGCTCAGCCAGAACCAAGATTCTAAGGAAGCAGATTTTGTTGGACTTGCAGCGCATCTTGAAAAGACACAAGTTCTGCAGTCATTGGCCATTGTGCAGGATTATATGGCGAAGCATCCTTCTATATTTGAAGTACAAGCTCCCGGAATGATCCAGAGATGGACGGCAGACATTGAAGCCCTGAGTACGCCAGGTTCTTTGTCCGAATGAGCAAGTTACATGTGCTATCGATTTTGGTCTCATGGAGGAAATACAGATTACCAAAGAAGGGAATGATCTTCTTCGTCAGTCAGAGGTTGGCTTGGGTATGGATGCCACATTATCACCATAATATGCTGCTTCAAACGTTCATGACATATAAACACAACACAACATCAACTGTATACCAGATCCGATGGGACTTTTTCAGCAGACAGATATATGAGCACCATTGGCCTTATTCTCGATTAGATCCCCCTCTTTCCCACGACGAACATGATGTCATTCTCCTGGCTTCACGAGACAGACGGCGATGGCATATGAATGATATGGCCGACCTTCTTGAATGAAGTTTCTTTGGTTCTGCGCGGTACCCAGCATCATTAAAACTTATAACCACGGTCTGGCCTTTTCTTGATGTTTCCAGTAACAAAGTCCATGTCAAAAAGTGGAACTCATTCCATCCAAGGGTACCAAACATTGGTATAAGATTTGATGAAATCCTTATCGGTCAAGGAAGCATTAGCGTCATTGAATCGGTCTCGGTAGTTCGGCAAGTTTTTCAGTTTGGTGAAACGATTGATTTTGTTCTGAATCCCGGCATAGGCGTAACGCTTGGCAGTAAGACGTTGACGGTTCGGGAATCGGCTGTTGAAGTTCTTGAGGACAGTGGCCCAACTTTTCTGGAGAACAACGCGCTGGTGCCAGGTGTAATAGCATTCTTCCTTAGAGTATTTCTTACGATGCGCGGGCAGGACGGGTGCGCATTCAGTGTCGTGGTCGACGCTTGTTGGTTCGGTAACGGTGGATGACAATTCTAGCATTTGCACATATGGTCTTTTGGAGGGGTGACAATGTCGCTGCAACATGGAGGTCGGTTGGGCTTCATTTTCCTGGCGGCTGGATTGTTGCGTGATTTGCGGTAGATCCACTGAATAATGTTGTGAGTACTGGGGCGTGGGTGCCCCCTGATCATTCAACAACGAACTGATCCTCATTGGGTCTGGATTTGAGCGCTGTTGCATGAACGGTACATTAACTGCCATTTCCCCTTCAATGATCCAACGAAGGGGAATAGAGAATAATGCAAGAGAGAAGGCATGGTCTCGTTCATGAATCGGCCGTACTGCGTGTTGGGCATTTTCTACTGCAGTATACTCAGCCGCAATCTGAAACTGGTCTGCACCAATAGAGATATATCTAATTTTCAAAACGAAACTAAGGAAACTAGGCTGGATTAGTTCAATCAGGCGCATGCCTCCCATGAGAAGTCTACATCTTGGCATACTGTACAGGGGTTGTTCCCAGGAACCATCTAGATCGTCAATTATGACCTTTCACAAATAAATTTGCTAGTTAGACTATTACGTGTCTAAAGGTGGGACCGACTACTCCAAGCTGGCCCTGTACGGATTAGTGTGAGGCAAATTAGAGGCCAAGAACAGATTCAACCAAGCCGCTCCGCGTTATTCGTCTTAGTGGTAATCTGCTACTTCCAACCTACCCTCCCTGATTTCCAGGAACCAGTTCCGATTATCTCTTACTTCAACCTAACTGTGAGGCTTTCCCCAATATTCGAACTGCTACGAAGTCTGACCTTCACAGGGATGGCTAGGCTCGCGGTTTTCTCGCTGTTGCTCACTTTGTTCACGATATTGACTAGTACTGGTCAATACTAGGTAGAAGGCACCCTATTTGCCTTGGAGTCTTTTATGCTAAATGAGACAGCAGGTTATCGCAGGAGTCGGTTGGGTTGTACGTCTACTTTAACGGACATCATACAGAACAGGCCGGGACCAATCACGTCGTCATCTTTCGCCTCATCTTTCAACACTCATTTTCCAGTGGTGGAAATACTAAGCGGTCGACTCGAAAATGAATGGCTCTTTCGTGGGCGACATGCTCCGAGGCGCGCCCTGGGACCTGACGGATCCGCCGAGCAATTTGTCTCGAAATACGACGGATATTCCAATCTTGGATATAGACACATGGGTGAGATGACCGGTTGAAGAGCGCCGGAAGGAGACCGAACAGAAAGGGAGGGTTCGGCGGCCAATGAACTCCTTCATGCTGTACCGGTGGGCCAATACAGAAAGCATCAAAGGACAATCACACCGGCACAGCCCTCGAGAAATCTCCTCTATTGCAGGAAAGCATTGGAGAAAAGAACCACAGAGCGTCCGCGACAAATACAGTCGATTAGCCAAGATTGAGCGCGATGGTCATGCCGAAGCGCATGCAGACTACAAATTCAAAAAGAAGGCGCGAAAAAGGCGATCTGTTACCAAGCCCGTGGCACATCTTGATAGTTCTGAACCCCCCCAGCATAACAGTTGTGATTATACTTCCGTCCAGGACTTTGAAATGGGTATCCAAGCCCCTATCAATTATCCCTGCACGGGGTCTCATCCCGGAGATATTCTGGAAAACCTCGTCGCTCCCATGGGAGGTGTTCTCCAAAGAGACCGCTCCAGTGGCTTGATCGGGCTCCCTGGAGATCCGCACTATGACTTGCTGTGTCCTCAGTCAATCAGCCCCTGACTAGCATCTTCTTCGATGGAAGCTACGTGGATCCTCAGCGGCAAAGCCTGTGGAATTTCTAGAACTCGATGCATCAGGAGTTGCTGTCAGAAGTTGTCTGTCGCAAAACATTGCATTGCTTTGGCTTCTGTAGAAGCAATCTGGCAAAAAAAGGCCGGCAACCTAATTTTGTGAGCTGGTGTGTGTGGGCTATTAACGTATTTACTAGCGCCCAAGCCAATGTTTAGCATGATCTAAATTCAGTAAATGTCGAGTAATTCATGTGAAACTATATTTGCGTGATGCATTCCCTGAAAAACCGAACAACCAGCACAATTGTTATGTGATTGCTCAAGCGTTGTTACATAGTACGTAGCCTTTTTCTGCAACCTTTGCATATCTAAATGTCAGGTAAATAGATAACACAGGCGCATATCTCTCTCAATATCTTTTCGCGGGCTCCTAGCCATCTCCAGGGATTGCTTTGCGAAGCCCAAAAGTTGGTGTGCCATGAAATTTGTACAACGCTCAGTGACTGTAAAAGTCGGGTCTCTTTACGCTGCCTGCGAGATCAATTAGGGCTGTTTTGTTTCGGCTGATATGGTTAATCTTCAACATTTAGTATAGACCCCTTGGTGGCGAATATATATGCAGGCCATAGAATATAAGTGAGTTCACCTTTACAACTAGTTTGTCACTATGATCCGCGTTCTATATAAGTCCATACGGTACATGTACCAACGGGAGTGTTCTGAATTGGTTAAAGGGTAAATAGTATGGCAGATAATAAATAAAGCAAGTAAAAGAGAAAAAAGGAGGAAAGAGAACCTAAATTTGATGCATATACATAGTGATCGGACATCCAGGAAGAAGACGATAATGACTGAGAGTTGAAAAAATTCAGGCCCTACTACCGAAGTAGAGCATGCTGGGCCACATGTGATAGGCGGGGAGGTATAGGGCTTAGACAGCACATGCGACTATCTATGAAGAGGCTAACCTGCACGATGATTATACATTTGCTGCGCCAATGATGGGAGCGGAGGGCCCTGATACCGCTCGGCACCGCGTCCCTGCAACTCGTGAAGGGGATAGTGAGGAAGACTCATTGGGCTGCTCAGGAAGGATGATGAGACTGATATTGGAACAACTGCTTCGGGCTTCATGTCAGGATTGCGGGGGACCACGAGTGTAGAGTATGAACGAACCGCCTGTGTGAGCCCTTCCCGGCACACTGCTAGTTTGAGAAATCCTAGATTGTGAATTGGGCGTGCAGAAATGGGGTGGTCGAGGGGTTGAAACTTGGGAGTTGGACGGGCAATTTAGGACTGGGTTTTGTATGTAAGTGGGCTGGTTGTTCTGCAAATTTGGGCTCGTTCCCAGTTGTGGAATGTTGGCGCCTGAAGTACCAATAGAGAGTGACTGCTTGTTCCCAGCTCCTTCCGGTGTTCTGGTGGACAATTCTAAGTAATTTGAGCCTGCCTGTGCGTACTCAGAGGCAAGTTGGTTGGGGCGTCCTCTTCCACCTGCAAGTTCGAATAAAAACAGTCAGTGTGGGAAGCAAGGACAGATAAAGGAAGAAAGGGGAAGAAAAATGCCGGGTGACACATATAGATCTGATATGGTTTAAAGGGCCAAGTGGCTAAAGCGAACACGGCATTAGAGGGGAGCTTACTCTGAAACCCTTCTTTCTGTGGCACATTTTGGTCATGTCTTCTCTGCTCGACAGGCTTTTCTTTTGATGCTCGCTGGCTTCGTTGCCCATCAGGTGGAGCGTCTCGCTCATTGCCCTCCATCTGAACAAGCGGAGTCATTTCGCTTATATTTGGATCAGTGGGATGGACAATACTGCCATTAATTGCTGTGAACCTGGCCGGAGGTTTCGGCGTGATGTCAACTCTATGGCGCCGATTGCCCAACATGGGGTTATCTTCCACATTCTCAGGAGAACTTGAAAGCACCATCTGTTCGGACGCGGATTCGGAGGCAACAACAGCCAGTGGACTTTGAGCCACTGCTTCCTCATCCTCATTCAATAGTGGAGGACTGTTTCGAGAAAGTCTTTCTGCGTTGTCTGGAACCTGCGGCTGATGATGAAGTTGTGGCGATCGAGGTCGCTCTAACAGCGGATGCTTGGGTGTAGTATCATCATTGCTCAGTACTGTTATCGTATGGGATGGGTCCAAGTTTGGAGTGTCAATGATGGCGTTGGGTGATCGTGATACCGGCATAGTATCGAGAACGGCTGGGACAACCGGAGCTAGTTGGTGTATTACATCCTTTTGGCGAGAATCTGCCTTTCGCTTTTTGCGGCAAGCTGTACGGATAGCAGAGGATGTTCGGTAGTGTCCAAAGTCTCTCAGAAACTCAATTTCAAGTCTTTCCTTTCGTAGGCTTTTCCGTTTCATGAGCCACCCTGGTAAACGGTCCAGGTCTTTAGCGATCCATGAACGATGAGAACTCTCCGCCTGCGCTTGAGATTTCTCATGAAG